CCCCCCCCAAAGGGAATAGTGAGTAGATCACAACAATAAAACTTAGAAAACAGTGACTATTGAATGCAAGGGAAATGTGGTCCAAAACACTGCGATGATCATATCAGGTGCATAACACAAATAAAGGAAGAAATATTATATCTTGATGTTTCAGTGACCAACACGAAAAGATATGCTTCTTATCAGTTATTTTCCATATGCCATTTAAGAATTTTAGAAAAGCTTAACATGTCCATGCATGTTCCAAATAATTATTTTGCATATGCCATTTAACAATTTTAGAAAAGCTTAAGAGAAAACAATCAACCAAAAACGCACGATAGAACGCAATGGCAAGCACACGAACCTCCAAACTGATGGTTTGACAGTTATCCCTCGCGCGAGCAAAGATGATATTGCGGTTGCGGTCTAGGTGGTCTCATATCGCGATCAAGCCATACACATCTAGTGGCCACTGCAATTCCTCTGCTATTGCCGCGACTTTGAAGGAAAAGATCTGCAAAGTTCCTGTCGGACCGGCGTGACGCCATGCTGGTGGCTTGACGTCCGTATAACGCATGGCCGGGATAGCCGCTGTATGGTTGCATGTCGTGATAACTTATAAGCAAGATTTGGACTAATGTAGGCACTAGTCAAGATCTGAACTAATGAGTACTTACTGGTGTCCTCGTAGGTGCCTCGTTGGCATGCCTACATTTGGTTCCAGCCGTTGCGGTAGCTACGAGCGCATACGGCCCTCTCGTCGGTCGACGACCAGTCGTCCAATCGGGCATGCCTCTCCTCCGTCTGCCTCCTCGCGAACAACTCCATCCCTTCACTCTGCAGCCAGCTCTGGTACGCCGCCGCCTCGGGATCCCCCATCGCCGCCCATTTATCCACGGCCGCCCGCTCCTCCTTCGGCCGGTTCTTCCTGCACGCCTCCCCCGCCGCCGCTCTGCACGCCTCCGCCGATGTATACGACTCGCCACCGAGGCACCGACCGAAGAAATCATATTCAGATCTATCGTTCTCGTCAAGGATTGTGTTCGCCAGCAGATAGACCCTCCCAATCATCGTTTATGTGCAGGAAAAAAAACAATGTTAAAAAATTGTGAAATTGTCATCAGTCTATATGAAATCACTGTTAAAAATTGCAAATTGCCATGTGACCAAAGAGATAAAATTACAAAAAAAAAACCATGATCTTGAATGAGCAAAAAATGCCCAGCCATGAATAAGAAGTACCATATTTTTTTAAAACAATCAAGTGTACCATACCCATGGCAATTTTGCCACGACATTTTGTTCTAAGGATTTTTTTTTGTGAAATTTGCCATGATCTAAACAGTAAATTTGCCATGCTACGAAAGTAAAATTGCCACGGTCCAAAAATAAAATGTCATGGCCCAAAAACTAAATTGCCATGATGAAAATAATTAAATTTGCAATGGCCTATGCCTTTTCCTTTTCATGAAGCACAACTATGTTTCTCATGGAA